TCGCCCCCCCCCCCCGACCCCAACTCCTCTCGATCCAGGCGCGTGCCTAGCGTCCGTAGGGGTGCGAGAGTGCTCCTGCTTCACGGCGAGCCTCCGCGTGAGCACGGGACGGCCAGCTGCAGCGGCAGCACCAGCATCTCCCTGCCGGTCTAACAAGATAAATAGCACGAAGAACAGCAGTGGTAGGCCGGCTCGATTCTCACCGGCAAGAACGGCGACGGCGAGGGGCCGGCCGTCCTCTGCCGCATCCTCCTCGACCGCGGCAGCCGCAGCACTAGGTGACGGTAGCGGCGATGTCAGCAGCAGCAGCAGCAGTAGCCAGGGGAAACCATCCTCCTTCAAGAGCAAGGAGTCCACCACGCGACGCCGCCTGCGCCGGCGCCAGAGGCGACCAACACTTGTCGCAGGCGGCAGGGGGAGCCCAACCGCTGCCGAGCAACAGCAGCCGCAGCCGCCACAGGTTGATGCGGAGGGATCGATGACGACCAGCCAGCAGCTCAGCGCGGAGGTCTCGGCGCGCAGGAGCAGGTCGCGGGCGTGGGGGCTGGTCGGCTTCCCGCCGGGAGGCTTCTACGACGGCGACGCCGAGGGGCTGACCTCCTCCTCGTCCTCCTCCTCCCCGCTGGTTGGAGAGGACACCGCCGCCGACACGACGGTGGCGGATGCGACGGACAGCGCCCTGAGAGGGCGGTACCGCGAGGAGCACAGGGACTGGCAGGAGAAGCTCGAGCGCCTCGTGGACATGTCGGAGCCGCCGCCGGAGCTGCTGGCGGCGGCGGAGACAAGGTCCATCGGCGACACCATCATGCCACCCCGCCCCCCCGCCCCCAAGTCCTTCGAGGAGGAGGGGCAACAACGACAAGGGGCAGCAGAAGACGGCTTGTGGACGTCGAGGGCGATGCTGGCAGGGGCGGCCATGCTGTACGGAACCAACTTCGGCTGCGTGAAGCTGCTCGAGGAGTCGGTGCCCATGTCCCTGGCGGCGGCGCTAAGGTTCTCGGTTGCGCTGGTGCCGTTCGTGCCGTTCCTCAAGAAGGTCAACCCGGGGGTGTTCCGGGCGGGTGCGGAGGTGTGTGAGAGAGAGAGAAACGGATGCGAGCCTCGTCACCGGCCATGAAGTCTACGTCACCTAAGATGTGTGTTCTTTTTGATGTGTGGCCCCCCGTTGGGCAACAAACCAGCCAACGCCGAAATCATGCCGCCGTCGATCGGTGCGCCAACCTACTTGTCTCGAAAGTGTACTCTGCTATTGTTCTTGGTCCAATGGCGTTATGTACAACAGAAGTGCGCAGCCCGCGGGGAAGTACGCTGCCGAGGGTGTGTGCATGTTATTCCAGGTCTGAGTTTGTTTGTCCGGAGAGCGTGGGTGATTCGCGGTCGAAATGCGGGCCGTTGACGGCCATAGCACAGACAGGAGCAGCTGTTTGGCCGGACAAACATGCAGACCAGCAATTTTCGATTTTGAGTTCAAACTCGAACGAAATTACTCCTTTTGTGCAGTATTGGAACATGTGCACCTCATGAGCTGTTTCCCACCCCGGCCCTACTACCCCCTCCCGCCCGCCCCCAGCTTCATCACACCCGACATCCTATATTTTTCAACCTTTGACATGTTTGGGCTTGCCATTTGACTCGTGGCAGCTGCGGGATTTTGGGTCCTTCCCCCTCCCACATTTTGGAGAGGGGAAGGGAACGAACTTGTGAAAATGTGTTCGGGTTTGGTGTGGGGGCAAAAAGACCAAGAACCCTTTTCCTCAAAAGACAACCCCGCCCCCGGCCTTCCGGCATGTCAGGTCGGCCTCCTGAACGCGATCGGGTACTGGGCGCAGTCCGAGTCGCTCATGACAACCACGGCCTCCAAGTCGGCCTTCATTTGCAGCCTCGCGGTCGTCTTCGTGCCCCTTCTGGATGCCCTGCTGGGCGGGGACAAGAAGAACGCCTCCAAAGCCGCCCAAGAGGAGACCGCCGCCGGCGGCGGAGGCGGCGGAGGCGGCGGGGTGTTTGCGGCGATGAACGGGCCGTGGTTTCCCGCCCTCCTGGCGGCGGCAGGGGTTGCCTGCCTGGAGCTGATCGGGGTGGAGGGGGGGCCCAACTCGGGGGACGTCTGGGCGCTGGCGCAGCCGCTGTGGTGAGTGAGCTTGACTGATATTGCATATAGTGTGGTCTTGGCGGGGGGCGGGGGGGGGGGGGGGGCGGACTCTCATGTTTAGCAGACCGTGGACCACGCGTCCTCCAGAGGACGGAGCAGTTTGACGGGCGGGGGGGTTGGAAAGGCGACGAGATGAAAGTCGTGCGTTTATTGGTGAAAATGGTTGGGTGACTGCTGTTTGCTCTGCTCTCTGGAGATCCCCCGTCTCCGTTTGAAAGACGAGTGTGTGTGGCAGTGTGGTGCCCTTAGATAGGTATTCAAGGCTGCTTCTGCAGTCTACCAACACTGAAGGTCGATGCGTCCACAACACGCGAAACGTGTCAGGCCTATTGTTTGTCCAGGGTAAACAAAACTCGGAGTACTGATTGGAGGGGTGAATTTTAACGCGTCTACATTGGGGCTTGGGAGGCCTCCGCTCTCGTGGAGTCAAAGTGTCCAGACATTGAAACCTCGAACTCACGTGATTTGGAGCCAAACTTTCCGCGAAGAAGAAGGACTAGCCTACCAGCGGAGGCAGCATCATTTTTCCTTCGCCGACATGTGCCGTAGATAATGTATTGCTGACAGCGTCTCACCATTTCTCTCTCTTCACATGCTCATCAAACCCACTACCCTCCCCCCCCCNGGCTGGGCTTCTGGCTGACCGAGCGCTGCTCCAGGAAGTACCCTGAAGAGATCTTCGGCCTGGTCGCGGCTCAGCTCCTGACGGTCGCCGTCCTCGCCGTGGGGTGGTGCGCCCAGGCGGGCGATCTGCCGCTGTCCCTGGCGTCTCTGAGGGAGACGGTGCTCCCTTCGTCAGGGAACCTGGCGGTGCCATTCTCGCTAATGTGGACGGTGAGTTTGTTTTGTTTTATTTTATTTTATTTTTTTTCTTAGTATGACCCAACGAATCCATCTCTATCTGTAGAAAAAATTAAGATAGAATAGAAATGTTTATACAGAACACGTCGAATTTCATCTCTTCTTCCACACACGAATGAGAATCCGGGAATTGTTTCTTTCAGATTAAGTTTCTTTGAATGTTCTTGTGAGTTTTTTTTTTTTATTGCCATGACGGTCGCTCTGAGGGGATGGATCAGATGGTTCGCTAACCTAATCAAAATGGTTGTGTGCCCAATCTAGGTGGTGGGTTCGAGCCGATTTGGCATAGATGTATGTCGTGGAAAGCATGTGTCCGTGAGTACGTGAAAAAAGGACGGAGGGCACTGTCTCATCCTCCTCGCGCGTTGAAATTGAATGCAAGTAAACAGAACGCGCGCACATGAGCTTCCTGCTCTTGATGTATGTCTTCCTTCATCTGGCACTCTGCTGGCACTTTGCTGGCTTTGCAGTGTATCATATGTCATGTCTGCCATTAGTACGCATAATCATTTGCTTCTCTCCCAGTCTGTCTGTCTGTCTGTCTGTATGTATGTATGTATGTATGTATGTATGTATGTATGTTTGCATGTATGTACGTATGTCTGTCTGTCTCTAAATGCTTGGCCGTATGTATCCACGTGTGTTGTATGTCTGCCTGTCGGTCTCTTGATGTCCGTCTGTCTCTAAGCGTCTGTCTGTATGTATGCATGTGTGTTGTCTGTCTGTCTGTCTGTCTGTTTGTCTCTAATTGTCCGCCTGTCTGTCGCTCTCCTCCGGCGATTCTGTTGGTCCCTCTCCAGGGCCTCGTGACGACCTCCCTGACCGTCTTCGGCGAGACCGTGGCTATGAAGAAGGTCTCCGCGGCGGAGTCCACAATCATCCTCTCCACCGAGCCCATCTGGGGCACCGCCTTCGCAGCCGCCCTCCTCGGGGAGAGCATCGGCTGGAACACGGGGCTCGGGGCTGTCCTGATCGTTTCGGCATGCACGTGGACGAGCGTGGGCCCCGCGATCCAGAGCAAGATGCTGTCGCTCGCGGCGGCGGTGGCCGGGGCGGGGGCGGTGGTGGAAGGGGGCGATGATTTGGCGGAGACCGTGGGTACCGTCATCAAGGAGATCGTCAAGGACCCTTGAGGGGGACGGTGGGTATCACGCAGAAGTGTGGTTCCACGTGGCGGCACGGGGTTATCAAGGAGATTGTCAAGGACCCCAAAGGGAAAGCGTGGGTATCCATATCCTTGCAGATGGATATTTCTCATGTGGAGGTACGGTCAGCAAGGAGGTCGATCTTCATGGACCCTTCAAATATGGGTGGGTACCCATACGACCTTGCTGGGAGGTACTTGTTCTCATGTGGCGGGGAGGGAAAGCATGAACGGGAGGGGGGGAAGGGGTACCCTGATGATTTGCAGTGCAAGAGGCTGCTGCTGAGGTCTACCGCAGCATCGGATTTTTCCCCATCTGGGCGCAATGATTTTGATCGTCTTTTTTTCTGTTTTCTTTTCTTGGAGTAGATATAAAAGAACAAGCTGCCGCCTACGCTATCATAGCCTCCGGCGGAATCGCTTCTAGTTTTTGGGAAGGGTTATGACATTTAGCGGCTTGGTGTGAATGTTTCGTATCTTGTCTCCACGGCCGACATATTTGATTCTGGGTTTCCCCACCCGAATGGAGGCGTGTCTGTTTTTGTCAAGGCCTCTGTTCGTAGAAGTTGATATCTGACAATTTTGCCGTGTCTTGAAATCGCGATTTTTCTTGCGCGAAGCCTAACCATGATTTGCCATGGCTCCCACATGGACCGCGTGGAGAGTTTCGTGTGGTTTATTTTTGCTTGAAAAACAATGGAACGCGGAATGGTTTTTGATGCGGTACCGTTGGTGGAAGGCAAAGTACATCAGAGCCGTTGTGGGCTTTGTTTGATTGGTTCATGGAAACAACTGTGAACATTCGAGGGATCGTATGGAAAGAACTTCACGAGAGTTGAAAAGAATCAAAGAAGCTTCTTCGCGGATTGATTCGTGGAAGGAAGGCTTTGATGTAGGCTTGGTTGTTCTCCTAGTCAGACGACAGGTAGGATAAGTTTAGCAAAGAGAGCGTGCGCGTGCGTTGTCTACGTAAATGCCCTAGACGGTCTCTCGCGACACGTCATTTTTTTTTTTTTCGGTCGAGAGATTTCGACGAACGCAAAATGTCGAGAACAGGCAGACATGACCACCTTGACCCCTCTCTCTGTCAAGGCTGGAGAAGGGGGGGGTGTACTCATTGTCGTGCATGCCGTAGTCGGTAGACGATTGACCTCGCATCCCTACGACGCTGGACGTGACGATTGTTTGTTTGACCCCGGGGGTAGAGTGGCTTGTGGATGGGAGAACGACAGAAGAGGATGGCGCAAGAGTCATGTTGGTCGGGTACGGGCGGGCGACACGATTGGCACCTCCTCGCCCGATCGCTTTTGTAACACGTGGTACCGTAAGTTGATGTTTTGTGCGTCTTCGTTTGGTGGGTTGGTCTGTGGGGTGTTGTTCCGGAATGACACCGACTTGAAGCACGGAGGAAGAAACTAAGTCGTACGTCGCTGACAGGGTCGATCGGAGGGGGTGGGGCACAGGGATTCCCCGTGGGCGCGAGCAGCAAGTATGCCGATGAATTTCAAATGTTTGGCTGTCGTTAGCTGGGCTTCGATTGTTTGACAAGACGTTTCTGTGGGAGGGGGGGGGGGGGGGGGGGGGNGGGGGGGGGGGGGGGGGGGGGGGGGGGGGGGGGGGGGGGGGGGGTTGAGATAGAGGCGTTTGGTGCTTAAGTAGTAGAGATATAGATGGGGGTCAGGAGTTAGACCTGTGATGGTGCGTTTACCTCGTTGGTGTGTCTGAGAAGTTGGTGTGGAGACGGGAAGTGATGGACGGGACGACACATGCATAGATCCGGAGCGGGGGGAAACGGAGTGTACTTATTTGTTGGAAAGACTCTTTTGGGGTCCATGATTTGTTGACATGTGGTCCATGTATTGAGAACGTGGTTTGAACGAACACTTGAATGAAAACCGGTTATTTGTTTCATGAGGATTTCTTGTGTGATACAGTGCCGGAAAGTGTGAGCCCGAATACGGGTGCTTTGAAAAAAAAAAGAACCTTCTTCAACAAATTGAGCGGAACCAAAATATTCGTGAGAAAGCTCTCGCCAGCAGCGATCGAATAAGCCTATCCACAGCGCGGGGTTTTCGTTTTTGAGAAAGATATGGCTCCTTTACCATCAATGCAGAAGGCACTTCATCCCACAAGAATCGCCATGTCTCAACAACTACGGCGAACCCCGCAAAAAAAATTGCAGATTTGCAAAGCTCTCTTTCAGAAGTATTTTACTGCGGCAGAACCATACCCGAGCGTGGTGAAGAAGAACTTAAAAAAAAATCAAAATCCTGTGAACAAAAAAAAGAAGCATTTCTCCAGATTCTTCACCTTGAATTTTTGTCGTGGGGCAATATGATGATAACTCAAGGAGTAATTGAGCAATTCTGGAAAAGATTACAGGAAAATGACCGTAAGTGTTACATGTATATAAGGGCACATGTCCCCTTAGCGGTTTCAGTTTGTTTTCGTGTGCAATGGCATAGATGTCGTTCGCGCCGGCGCCCACAGGCCCAACACCCCGGTTCGAGTCCAGCAAGTATTCTCCCTAGTCTTTTTTTCCATACGTTTATCTTGAAAAATGTATGCAATTTTCTTNTTAGCGGTTTCAGTTTGTTTTCGTGTGCAATGGCATAGATGTCGTTCGCGCCGGCGCCCACAGGCCCAACACCCCGGTTCGAGTCCAGCAAGTATTCTCCCTAGTCTTTTTTTCCATACGTTTATCTTGAAAAATGTATGCAATTTTCTTCGACCTCATCAAAAAAAATTTGGTCACCGCGTCTTGTCGGTGCCATCACGGGCAATACGCACGTGAAAATAGTGTCGAAAACCATGACTTTAGTCAAAAGTTATGGCCGGTCAACCAAAATCGGTCTCACACTTTCCGGCACTGTATCGGCACGTATCGACGATTGAGGACGCCAAACCGTCGTGGCGATTGACACTGTTCCACAGGACACTAGGGAAAAATACCACAGCCGTCGTATGTTTGCCACTCGTCGAACAAAATAGTGACGTGTAGGAGCACGGCGCACAGGATTGGAGTTTTCATTTTTCTTGTGAAAGCTGGCCCTGCTTATAAATGTCTCGCGTGATTGGCGTGTGACGCGTGCTTCTCATATTTCACATGAAAATCAGTTCGCGCCTTTGCTGCAAACATGGGCTGCCACCAAGCACAACCTCTCATGCGATGCAAGACGATCGAAAAACATCCTTGCCTGGTCTTGGGTAGTTGGCAACGGCAAGCCTTCCTTCGACAATTATGTACCCTGGAGCACTCACGAAGGCACCCACGCCGAGCTATCGAAAACGCTACGACCGCTCTTGTGTCGAGCACGGGAGTGAACCGCATCCACCACTCCGATAAGGTCGCGTTTCCGCACCACCTCCTTCCCCCCTTATTTCCAGCGATGGAGAGAGAGTAGGCCGAAGAAACTTCACGTTCATGCACGTAACGCACCCTCGAACGTCGACTGAGGGGTCTACCTACCCAACCTGCTATTTACCGAACCTGTCGTTCTTGCAATCTCCATCCTGCTCTCCACGTCTGATCCTCCCCACCCAAACACGCGACAGCCACCGACCAAGTCCTTTCTATTTTGAGTCCTGAGTGCTTCGGGCAGCACCTCTCCCTAGGCGTTCAGCCACCTAGCACAAGGACGGCCACACGGCGGAAGTGGCGGCCCCGCAGTCCCTCCACCACAGGGTCAGTAAGCTGGACTCTTGACACACGCGGCGACATATGCCCTAGATCAGAGCCAATAACGCCGAGTGGGCTTGACTCTATGTACCCTATCTCGACCTGAGCCACCCATTTTCGCCTCTCGAGAACTTGATTCAACCAGACCGCGGTCCCCTCGCTGCTGGCCAATCAAACCGCCTGGGCGGGACTCCGACTGCATCGCCACCACGACCGCCTCCGACTTCCCTCGAAACCCCGCCTCCGCCGCGTCCATTCTCCGCACTGCCGCCTTCTTGACGACCCGAGTGTTGCTTTCGCGAGTGGGATGCTGCCTCCGCCGCCGCCGCCAGCGACACCTCCCTTGGACGCTTGCGGCCACCGCCACCTCCGCCGCCGCCGCCGCAAGGAGCGTTCGCGGCGCGAGCGGGAAATTGGCGGGGAAGGGAAGAATACAGCTGCTGCTGCTGCTGCCGCTGCCGCTGCTGTTGAGGTCGCGGGGTTGCATCTCCATTAGACACGGGTCTCGAAAACGATGAGGGGGGCCGCGAGGAGCGGGCTCCGCCGCCGTTACCGCTGAGGTGGAGTTGGCGGTGGTGGGGCAAGGAAGACGTAGCGGAGGACGACGACGACGAAGAGGTCGGAGGAACGAGCGATGCCGACGCTAAATCGCGAGAAGAAGAAGCGGGTTCGCGGTGAGGGTCTCGGTGACGAGCCGGGTGGCGGGCGGGCGACGAAAGGCTCGAGGTCGCCGCACCACCGCGGCCGCCACCGCCGCTGCGTGCCCCATCGCCGTCTTGCGACGGCAGGCGGGGGATAGTTCTCTTGACTCCGCCCCCGCCTGTGCCACCGCTGACATCGCGTCGCCGAGGGATGGTCCGGATCACCGCCCTTGCCCCCCCTCCCCTGCGAAGCGCTGCCGAAGACGAAGAACTTCCGCCGTTTTGGGCGCCGCCAAGCTTCTTCCCTCTCGGCGGGGGCGTTCCTCGCGTTCCTTGGAACGTTCCGTGCCGCGGCAACGCCGGCGGCGGCGGCGGCGGCGACGACAATGACGCCGACAACATCTCTCCACCCAACGAACGCGCACGGTGACATCGAACGGCGGTGGTCCAGCCAGCACCAGCACCAGCACCACCTGCGGCCCGAGCAGAGCCTACCGCCGCAGGCCTTCGCGGCATCGGAGAGGCGTGGTTGTGCGGGGAGAACGGGGACACCGGGAGCTCCCTGGGGGTCTTGAAGACTAGCTGGCTCCACCGCCTTACTATCTGAGAGAAAGGTCGAGGGCGGTTGCCGACAAAAGAACGGGGTCGGAGGATAGACGCAGGTTGGCATAATTGGGCGTGTGCGTGTGCGGTGGGGTTTCAATCGTTGGTGTCGTTTTCCGTGCCTTTCGGCGGTGGCCCCAAGCAGCCCTTGAACGACCGAGCGCTCGTTGACAACTGCTACACGCCATCAAGTGGCTGTACATTTTTCTCTGACGATGGGGAAAATATGCACTCCAATCACTTCTTTCGCACACCACTACGTCCCAATACCGCTACCACATGCTCTGTGACCTCAAAGCAACAGAAAGGCTGGGCGTGCAATAGGCAACGCAGCGGGTGTCACCAGGACGCAAACACACACTCGAGCGAAACCAAACGCCAGACTATAGCCCACACACCGGCCCTCTGCTCCCGAGCTCCCCTCCTCTAAAAACCTTAATTATTACTCCTTGCCTGCTTGATCAGCTCCCGGTTGTCTCGAGTCTCTCCCGGGCCGGCCGCCATCGCTACCACGAGCTTGCCGATACCGCTCTCCCGCAGGTGCGACTTCTGGACGGGCAGCACCATGAGCACCTTGAGCAAGGATGCCCTCTGGGGGGGCGGTAGGAATGGTCCGCCGTCTGGTGCTACCTCCAGCCATAGGCGGAGGACCGTCGGGAGCTGGGACGGCCACCAACACCCACCACCACCGAAAACAGCAAGTTTAAGGGCGGGCGAGCCAGAAGCGTCGAGACGATTGAGACGGCGGCTGGCAAACGTAGGTGTTCCACAGCGAGCAAGGCGTGTCGTGGATGCTTCCAAGGCCACACCGCTCAAGTAGGACATGAAGGTAACGGGACCTCTACGTGGCACTATCTGTGCAGTTGTAATACATCTCGGGTACTACTTCTACAGCAGTCCTTCAATGCTGGCCACACTGGACATGCCATGCCATCCCATTCCTCCTCCCATCCCCAAACAAATTACTGAACATGCCACGCCATCCCATTCCTCCTCTCCCCCCCTACCCCCAAACAACCTGACTCCCACCTGCGAAGACAGGAGTACGTCAAGGGTAGTGGCGTCTCCGTGTACAGCCACCCTGCGCAGCTCCTCTATCGTCTGCTCAACCTCCGAGGGCACCTTCGGGTAACCCCCGCCGCCCTCAGACACACCCATCCTCGCCGAACCCCCAACGGCCCAACCTCTGGAGCGCCGCTCCCTCTCCTTCAGCGCCACGCGCCGGAGCCGCTGCACGAGCGCCTGAACTTCCAAGTGTCCCAGGCGAACGTCCGACGCAGCGGGGAGCCGCGGGGTGGTCGTCGTCGTGCCTACCCCCGCCCTCCTTCCTCCTCGTGCTGCGACCCCCCCCCCGTTACCAACACTACCACCCCCGCCGGTGCGGCCGCCGTACCGCTTCACCAGCGACATCGTCAGCGGGGGCGGCGGCGGTGGCAGCAAGACCGGGGGTAGTGACGTACGCATCATCCTGGGACGTTTGAACACCCTGCGCTCCGGCTGCTGCTGCTGCTGCTGCTGCTGCTGCTGCTGCTGCTGCTGCTGCGGGGTGGGTCCCAGGGCGGCAGTGGAAGCAGCAGTAGAGGCGGCGCCGCCGTTCCACACAGGAGAGCCGGGGGAGGCCTGACCATTTGAAACGCTGCCGCGAACGGGTTGCTGTTGTTGTTGTGGCTGGGTTCTGGTTGTCATCGCCGTGCGTGGAGGCTGCTTCGAGGTGGAAGGAGCCTTGCCCTTCTTCTTTTTGTTCGTCCCTTGTGCTAACTGGAACCGAGAGGTTGCAACGCAACACGTTACAACACGGACACATGTGGAACGAAGGTTGCACACACAACAGGGCCAACCCCAATTTTCAGACACACACAACACGGAAACACGCGAGAAATAGGCAATGGGTCCATATTCGTGTCTGGAAAAATGCGAAACCGTATGAGCTCGATCTACAAACGTTTTGTGGCGAATTCGCGCTTCAAAACTGATGAGATTGAACGGAATCTGGTCCAATGCCTCCCACACAAATTGCCCCGGAGTCCGCAAAACCCAAGCACGGGCATTCCCGACAAATACAACGCACTGGATCTCCCTACCCCTACGAGACGGAAGCTGCACGTCAGCCCCTGGTGGCCGCTTTTCTGGACTAGCATTTTGCAGGGACATGAAATCTCGTATGGTGCGGCAGAACAACTCCGCGCGAAAACTACGGGGGCAAGAGTGGCCCCAAGGCAAGTGTTATCTCAATCAATCGGCACAGCACAACACAGCCGGTCATGACGCACATGGGGACAGCACACCACAAGGAACAAAAACGGTCCCCATAACAAAATCGGTGCACAGCCACCAAACAGCGCGCAAACACACACACACACACACACCTGCTGAGCAAGCTTCGCGTCAGCCCAGGACTGCGCCACGACCCCAGTCGCCCCGGCCGGCGGCCCTGCCTCGTCCTCGCTGCTCGCCAGCTCCTCCCCGTCCTCCTCGTCCGCGAACACGTGTCTCGGGGTCATCGCGGACGTCGCAGAGGCTAGGACTCTGGGCCAGAAGTTGGGTGCGGCGGCGCCGGCGGAGGCGGAACCGCTTCCGTCACGACGGCGACCGCTCCGACCCACGGCGCCGCCGTTTCTTCTATTCCCGCGGCGACGGCTGCTGATGCTGGCACCACCGGCAGCAGCCCCGCCGGAAACCCCGCCGCCTCCCGAAAGCACGCTCACAAGTCTCTCGCTGTCCTCCGAGCCGTCTCCAGATCTCCTCCTCGCCTCCGGGCTGGCACTGCCGTGGGGTCGGGGGCGGCTGGTGCCTCCGCCACCGCTGCTGACGGCCGTGCGGCCTCGGGTCTCCGTCGGGTCTGCTCCTTCGCCGGTATCGCCGTCCTCCGCGTCCGACCCGTGAACCTCTTCTTCCTCCTCCTCCTTGGATGATGACAAAGAGCCGGACGAATACCCCAAGCCAATCGCCTCCAGGTCCCCGCTGCTCTCCCTCACTTCGCTGCCCTCGTCGATAGCTTCAGCGATAGCTTCAGCGCCCGCCTCAGCCGTGGCCGCCGTTGTGATCGCCGCCGCCGCCGCCTCCGCGGCTGCCCTCCTTGTCCTCCCGCCCCCCGCGGCGCCGCTACCTTCTCCTGCAGCACCCGCCCCAGTGACCACCCCCTCCTCCCCAGATGACTCCAGTGGTTGTTGTTGCTGCCCCCCCCCGACCTCCTCCTCCACCCCGTCGTCGTCCTGCTCCTCCTCCTCTCCGTCGGACCCTGAGTCTACGGCCCACACCCGCTGCAGGATGGCATCGCGGCGGGAGTCGGCCTCTCGCCTGCGAGATTCCTCCTCTCGACGGGCCTGGCAAGCGGGGCAGAACCAGTCTCCCGCGGGGACCTCCCCCAACCCGCAGCAAAACGTGTGGGCAGCCTGTTTCATTGTTTGGAGCGTGATTAACACGGGGCGGGGGAAGGGTCGAGGACAGGGTGCATGAGGCGAGTACTAAAGGCGAAAAAAGAAAGCATCATCGGGTATTGGGATGCCTAAGCTAACGAGGACGAATAGCAGTCCCGAAGGCAGCTTTGTTGAGGGACCGCAGGTAAGGACATGCTCGAGAGGGTATTAAATCCATCCATAATATTGAATCATTCGGGCGAAGGCTGCCTGTAGATAGCACCACGATCGATAGCGTTGTGGTTGGGCGACTCGTGAAGGCTCTCCACTTGAGGCAGGGTGTGCAGAGGCGGATGCACCAGGCGACGACTAGGCTTTTTCCTTCTTGCGACAAAAGCATACACATGATCCCCTGCTTTCCTCTCATTGCATTGACGCGGCCGCGCGCCGAGCCACCAACACGCGACCCCACCCGGCGAGGGAGCAATCACACTATCTCTACGCGGAACCAGCTCAGCCTATCAGCTCGGCGGCTCACATTGCCGCAGCCTGGGCCATCGCACAGCATCAGCTGCTCCTCTGCACCTCCGTCCTGGCAGTGCAGGCACACCGCCCGGGCCCCCTCCGGCTCCGGCTCCTCGGGGATCAGCAGACCGCCCAGGTGGCCGTTGGGAGCGAACAGCCCTCCTTCGTCCAGCGGCCGTGGCCTCCTGCTTCCTCGGAATCGCTTGACGTGGTCGTCTCTCAGCCGGGTGACCACGTAGAACCGACTCTGACAACGGGCGGGGGGG